GTGTGCGCCCGGGATCCGAACCTGGGCCACCACCAGCGGAGCGTGCGCACTTAACCGCTAAGCCACAGGCCAGCCCAGGAAAAATATTCTTGATGCATGTGACATAAGTTCTATCCTCGATGCAAAAAAGGACCATTAAAAATTTATATAAAAAACAATATCCCTAGTAGAAAAATTAGTATGTCTGTTGGTGTTTTATAATGGCAGAACCCTGGATTCTCTCAGTAGGAGGAGAATATCCATACAACCATTCCCATAAGGATGCATATTCAGGTCCATAATCTCTTAACCCTTTTGGCCAAGTATTCATACATTTTGCTGCAGAAATGGGAGAGTTTTATAATATGTATCATTTGTGCCATGTTTCTGTGGCCAAATGTATGAATATTCATGGTAAGTGGCATAAATAAAGGCAATAAATAACCTCATATCACTTGAGGTCAGGTTTTGCTGCCAGAGTTTTCTGTAAAGGAAGGAAAAAACTTGTGGCTTTTATAGCTTTGTAGATTTATTTGTATATTTATTCAGTGAAATGATATACAGTATTTAAGTAGAAAGGAATGTGTTATAAAACCTAAATATAAATTTCTTTTGTATAAATGTATAGAAAGAGGCACTTTTCTCCTTCAATGTACAGAAAAATATTTAGAATGCGAGTTGCCAAACATGAACATTGATTCTCTTTGGTGGTTATTAGAGGTAATCGTTATTTTATCTTTCTATTTTTCTAAGATTTGGAATTTTTAAAAAATAAGCTTATATTGGTTTTATTGTGAATAAAGATAAAACTCTGCATTTTGAGAAAATGATCTTTTGCTTTCTTCGAATTTTCTCTTTAGTGATAAGATGTTTCCGGCTTTTGGTTTTGGAGCCCAGATCCCTCCTCAGTGGCAGGTAGGAGGACACCTCCTTTTAAAGCTTTGCCTCCTGGAAAAGCACCGCAGGCCTCATCAGCCCTTCCTTCGTCTTCTGACAGGTTTCACATGAATTTCCGCTGAACTTTAATCCATCCAGTCCCTACTGTAATGGTAAGTTAAAACAGAAACGTGAAGGTTTTGAACTGAAAGCCTCACGAGTATCTGTTACTTGTTTTTTTCTGGTGATTTAAAGCTACGCAGATTCCCTCTCTAGGTTCCTTTTTGTGACATATTTAACTCTCTGTTGTGGCAAATAGAAAAATTGCACCAAGTTGGTGGTGAGAGTGGTGATGACAGTTATGGGGCAGATCACTGTTACGATGATGAAGATTACAGGCTAAATTCTTCTGCCTGGAGAGGTGTGAGAGAACAAAACAGTTCTCAATCTTGAGACTAGATCAATAAAAATAATCCTGTTATTTTCACATGTGAGTTGATTTTAAAATAAACCTTCAATAAAATGAGTCATTCAGTGTACAGATCTCTTGACCCTTTTCTCAGAGTAGCAGTCGCTCTCTACAAAGAAAAGATGTCCAGCCTCGAATTGCTTGTTATTCAGGCTGTTCTGTACGGAGGTGAGGTGGCTAAGGTACTTCTGAAGTACCTTCCTGTGTGTGGAGAGCAGGGGACAGACGTGTGTCTCTCATTTCACCTTTTTCTTTATACCTCAAATATCCAAGTGCTTCCTCGTTTTTACCCCATTGAGCAATCAACCTAAAATGCCAAATCTCCCACAAAATTATGGGAGACTGTATAGTTTGGAGGAGAAAAGGAGGTAGGGGCAGAGCATAAAATTGTAGATAATAAGCTAATTTTCTGTAAAGGGTCCTTTTGACAATTACAAAATGTATAGATTTCTAACAGAAAAAGGTACTGTTTCCTTCTCTTCCTAAACCATGTTCATAGAAGAACATGAACATTTTCTTGGGAGTAGTTTGTATGAGGATTTTCTTCTTTTTTCCCGACTAATTCAGTGTTCCTTTGATGTACTTTCAGTGGCTGGTTGTGACCGTTTTAAGCCCTAGCCATTTGAAAGTGGGAATATTATTCTTTTCAAGAAATGTGCTCTATGTGCGTTGTGCCTGTGAGGTATATGAACCCATTTTTTCCCCCCCAAAGCCCCAGTAGATAGTTGTATGTCATAGTTGCACATCCTTCTAGTTGCTGTATGTGGGACGCGGCCTCAGCATGGCCGGAGAAGCGGTGCGTCGGTGTGCGCCAGGGATCCGAACCCCAGGCCACCAGTAGCGGAGCTAAGCCACGGGGCCAGCCCCAAGCCCAGCTTTTCTACTTGTGGTTTATAAAAAGGATCTGGAGAAAAGAATCAGTTTCGTTTTAGACAAAGGAGGTACTGTACAGAAAAAATACAGCCTTATTTTAAGGCAAGGGAGTTGAGTCCCCTTTTCCTAATTAATCATTGAACTTAGTTGGCCAGAAATAACATGTCTCACTTGTTCGTTTAATGCAAAGGAAGGATTTTGGCATAATTCAGTGTTAGTGGAGGAATTGAAGGCAATTGATATTTGTGAAGAAATTTAATTAATAGTTTGCATACCTTCAGATTGAAAAGGAAGCTGCTAAGATGACAGAAATGGAAGAAAATATTGTTATGGCTGTAGTTATGGCCTCGAGTTTTCTACAGCATGTATGAGAGCAGTCAGATCCTGCTGCCGGCACATGTTAATGTCACTGTTTTTGTTACTACTGGACCCACTGACCACTAGTCACAGCCCCACCCTGTGCCTGTAAACCACCTCCACATACGAAGAGTTACAGCCTCGAAGGCTGTTCATAAGACCACTTGTTCCTAAGGTCAGAGTGACCAAGAGGAGTTCGCTGGAACTCGTCAATTGTAAGAGGAGCGAGTTGGTCCTGGGGAGCTTTGAAACACGTGTGTGCTTCTCCCCCTTGTTGGTCTCTGTTCTCCTCAGCATTTATTTTTTATTTTTTTATTGTGAAATTTTTGTTGTACATTATTATTTGTCAGTCACCATGTAAATGCATCGCCTCACCCCTTGTGTCGTGGGCATTTTTTAAGCAAGAGACCTGTTTTGGTTTCTTTTTTTTTTTTTTTAATTTATTTATTTATTTTCCCCCCAAAGCCCCAGTAGATAGTTGTACGTCACAGTTGCATATCCTTCTAGTTGCTGTATGTGGGACGCGGCCTCAGCATGGCCGGAGAAGCGGTGTGTTGGTGTGCGCCTGGGATCCGAACCTGGGCCGCCAGCAGTGGAGCGTGCGCACTTAACCGCTAAGCCATGGGGCCGACCCCTGTTTTGGTTTCTATTAAGTCTTCTGAGGCAGATTTCCTTGATGATCTCGGCAGGTATTGTGGGAGAGTTTCTGGAGGATTTCTGGTATCTTACTGAATTCTAGACACTAATCTTAGGAGCAGATCCAGCAGGTACGTGGTGGCCTTAACGTTTCAGGGGCAGTGCCTTTACCAGGAAGGTCATTCTACTTTCACAGAGTTGTGCTGCTGTAACAAACGGTCTGTGACTCGTAATGACAATAGTTCATTTCTTGTCCGCTTTGCATACCACTTGACCTGCGGCTGGCCTGCAGCTCTGCTCTGTGTGTCTGCTCATTTGGGGACCCAGGCCGAGAGAACAGCCCCTGTCCGGGATGCGCTGCCCCCGTGGCAGAGGGAAGGAGCAAGATCTCTGGTGGAAACAGATGGTGGTTCTTACAGCATCCACTTAGACACGGACGTCACGTCCATTTACACGCATTGGTCAAAGCTAGTCGTGGCCCTGCCCAATCGTCTATGGCATAACGTCCCAGCAGGCCCAGGCAGTACCCCATACACAACGCATTCGTGTCTGCAGGAAAATGCAGTGAATCGCCTGGAAGAGAATATTTGGAACTGTGCAGTCTGCCATACCATGCTTGACCTTCGAGCTATTGGATAAACCCTTGACCAGAATTAGCATTGGGTTTGTAGCCATCTGGTATTTTTGTAGATCCTCTGGCCACATATGCAAAAGTTTTTCCATTTAATAGATTTTTCTTACCTCTGTGGTCAGTTGTGTGATACAGCACTTTTTTCATAGTTCTTTTTCCATCCGAGTCTCATTCGCAGAACACATCAAAATGAAGCAGTCTACTGTAGATCAATGAATAATTTGGCTGAGATGGCAATAAATGCCTTCTACTAGGGGAGGGTAGAGTTGATAGGTTTTTGCGATGGAGCATAGCTATGCAGTTTTGTAACATATAGCTTAGAAGAACTCTTGAATGTAGCAATTTTGACTATTTAAAGCACTATGTGTTGATATATAATTAGCCAGTATGGTGAGTAATGGACAATTAAATTGTGATTGAGAATTTTTCATACCGTTTTTTTGTCTAGGAATCCAAGGCATTATAGATGCGTATCGGGCCTGCCTTCCTCAGATAAAACTCTATGGGCCAACGAATTTTTCTCCAATCATCAATCACGTGGCCAGGTTTGCTGCTGCAGCCACACAGCAGCAGACAGCGTCTGTAAGTGCTTGTCGCCGGGGGACCAGGAGAGTGGGGTGGGAGTTGCTCCCACTGCTGCTTCTCTGTTTGTTTGGTCTGCAAGATACGCAGACAGAGCATGAAGTAATGATAGAGTCATCCTGGGTGTGGGAGTGGCACCTGTTGTTGTTAGCTTAGTGATCATTAGAAGCAAGACAACAACACAACAACCCGTACGCTCATAAGTCCTTTCTCTGTCTTTTGAATTAATTTTTCTTAAATAGGTTCTATCCCGCAAAAATGGCTGTCTACCTTTTCGAAGGTATACTTAACAAATTAAGGCTTGAGGAGACCGACAGCTTCAGTTGATGTTGCAGAATTACTTGCTGTACTAAAAAGTTTTGACTTAGACAACCATTACCTGTTGGACTTTGGATACCAAATCTCTCTTAGCTTTAGTATATTCAAAAGTGAGGCAAGGATCACCAGCTCACACAGTTGTTGAAAGGGTGAAATAAGGTGTCTCAGAGAGAGTGCACAGTGTCTCGGTCGGAGTAATCACTCAGCATGTTAGCTACTGTTCTACATCTTATTCCCATTCTAGATTTAAATGACCCAAAAGATGAAGTCACAACTTTATGTAACATTTTACCACTCTCTAAAAAGGTTTGTCAGAGATGACAGAATTGAGAGAAAGATTCCCCCCTTAAAGCATATCCATTTTTTTAAAGCGTATTTTAATTTGGTAAACAATTCTACTTCTTCCGTATTTGATCTTCTAAGAATGGAGTTGCCACTTGTTTCCTTGGTACTTTGACATATTTAATAGTTCAGTTAAGTTGAAGTGTTTATTCCTACGCATACTCAAAGTCTAATCTTTGATGTTAAGATGTCTTGCTTCCATGTATTCATGCCAACCCTATTTTGTGGTCTGTTGCACTTTTAATAAACCTGCAGTTTTTGTATCAGTAAATTTCCTTGTCTTCAGAGAATCTTAGAATATTTTATGTAGATGGTATCCTGAGTAGAGACTGGAAGGAAAATGAGCAAGAAAGAGATGAAATGACTCATCAAGCTGAAGATGTATTTATCATTGCTTTTCTTGTTTGGGAGCTGACCTGCTCAGGGGACATAATTTTCTGTTTTGGCAGCAATATTTTGTGCTCCTAATCATTACCGATGGTGTGATCACAGACCTTGATCAGACCAGACAAGCCATAGTGAACGCTGCCAAGCTGCCCATGTCCATCATCATCGTTGGGGTCGGAGGAGCAGACTTCAGTGCCATGGAATTTCTGGATGCCGATGGTGGAAGTCTCCGCTCCCCGTCGGGCGAAGTGGCCATCAGAGACATTGTCCAGTTTGTGCCTTTCAGACAGTTCCAGAACGTGAGTACCACCCCTCCCTTTTCTTCGTGCATACTAACGTGTCTGAATACAGACCTTTGCCAACCCATAACTAAGCCGTTGAGAAGGTGTCTATGGTGAGAGGATGTGTGAATTTTCCATTTGAGGAGCTCTGATTAGACTTGGTGGTTTTGCTTGAGGTTGTATACTTGTGTGCCTCTTGCAGTCGATATGATAAATTGTTGAAAATGGCGTTATTATAAATGTCTTAAAGTATTTTTTATCTTTACCTATGTAACAACAGAAAAACTCTGTACACAGGGCTGGCCCCGTGGCTTAGCGGTTAAGTGCGCGCGCTCCACTACTGGCGGCCCGGGTTCGGATCCCGGGCGCACACCGATGCACCGCTTGTCCGGCCATGCTGAGGCCGCGTCCCACATACAGCAACTAGAAGGATGTGCAACTATGACGTACAACTATCTACTGGGGCTTTGGGGTAAAAAAAGGAGGAGGATTGGCAATAGATATTAGCTGAGAGCCAGTCTTCCTCAGCAAAAAGAGGAGGATTAGCATGGATGTTAGCTCAGGGCTGATCTTCCTCACACACACAAAAAAAAGAAAAACTCTGTACACATATATGATGAATTTACCAAACCAGAAGTTGGTTTGATGAAAATCTCTTAGGAGGCTGTTTTACCCAGTTCACTCCGGTGGTGACACCTTGTGAAACTGTGGTACAGGATCACAGCCAGGACATTGACATTGATACAACCAAGGTCCGTCATACAGGATCCCTCATGTCCCCTTGTGTAGCCATACCCACTTCCCTCCCACTTTCATCTCCTCCTTAACCCCTGGCAGCCACTAATCTGTTCTCCATTTCTCTAATTTTGTCATTTCAAGAGTGTTATGTAAATGGAATTGTACAGTACATAACCTGTGGGATTGAGTCTTTTTCACTGAACATAATTCTCTGGTGAGTCACCAGGTTGTTGCATGTGTTCCTTTTTATTGCTGAGTAGTAATCCATGGTACAGGTGTACCAGTTTGTTTAGCCATTCACCCATTGAAGGACATCTTCAGTTGTTTCCAGTTTTTGTCTGTTACACACAAAGCTTCTGTAAACATTCATGTACAGGATTTTGTGTGAACATGTTTGCTGGGTCATATGATTGTTGCATGTTTAATTATTAAAGAAACTGTCAACCTTTTCCAGCATGGTTATGCCAGTTTACATTCCCACCAGCCAATGTGTGAGTCCTGGGGAGGGGGAGGGGTGTGTGATTAAAAAGTGGTGATGTGAGGGACCTGTGTGGTGATGAAACAGTTGTGTGTCTTGATTGTGGTGGTGGTTACACAGATCTACCCAGATGATAAAATTACATAGAACTAGGTGCACACACACACACACACACACACACACACACACAAGTGCATGTAAAACTGCTGCAATCTGAATAAGGTCTGTGAACCGTACCAGAGTCATTGTCCTGGTTTTGATATTGTGCTGTAGTCGTAGAAGACTTTAGAGCAAACTGGGTGAAGGGTATGTGGGACCTCTCTGTATTATTTTTGCAATTTCCTGTGAATCTATAATTATTTCAAAATGGAAAGTTAAAAAAATTAATACCAAGTGAATGAAAGACCCACATTTAAAAGTTAAAGAACAAAAAATATCATCAAATGTCAACATGCTGGCACCAGGAAATGACTTGATAGATGCTAGCAGGGATAAGTAAGCATTCCTAAGTAACGTCAGTTAGCTTATTCCGGGTTTCATGGACTGTTTCTAAGACAAGATACGAGCCTAGGAAGTGGGAATTGCTGCTTCTTACTGACTGCTGAGGTATTCCTGGTCTTTTATCAAAATGCCAGTAAAACTTTGGTTGCTAATAAAGTCACTTTGCTTCTGTTTCTCGCAGGCTCCTAAAGAAGCGCTGGCTCAGTGTGTCTTGGCTGAGGTCCCCCAGCAGGTGGTGGGCTACTTCAACGCCTACAAACTCCTCCCCCCCAAGAACCCGGCTGTGAAGTGAAGGGAGCGGGCGCCCGAGCAGAGTGCTTCTGTGCCGTGGGGAGCGGTGGCTTCCTCCCTCACCTGAATCATGAATCTTTTCATTTTACACACTTTTCACCCCCAGCATTTATCATGTAAACCTAGTTCTCTATGGAGTGTCTCTATTTAAAGCATTCTCTGTGTACTTTTTTTGGAGGAAAGTGCTAAGTTAATCTTTGCTCAATCAATTCAGTGAGTGCTAGTGATTTATAGTCATTTCAGTGAGGCTGTTTGGATTAGAATCTCGTGTGAGAAAAGCCGCTTTTGTCGTTGTCGCTGTTTACTGGCATATGATGAAAATGCTGTTTTTCGATATTTGTCAATAGGAAGAATGAAACATTGTTGGGATGATGCGATTTACAGCTTGGTGCACTTGATCTGTTCTAGGCAATAGACGTTTTCCAAGCCAATGTCCATATCTCATGACAAGAGCTTCCTAAATGCTGTGCTGTTGAATGTGTTCTGTGCTTTGCCGTGAGGTGAAACCGCCTTCACTCGCGCAGAATTGTGCTTCCCCTCAGACACTGCACGTTTACAGAACAGCACGCGTTCACTCGGGACTTCATGAACAGTCCTGAGTGAGACGGACAGCACAGAGTCAGTTCTCAAAATGTACAATCGACGAGTGAAAGGAACCTCGTGTAAATAAGCCATTTTTATTTGCCTTTCTCCATCTTCTATTTTCACTGCGGAATACTGTAACCATGGTCAGATCCGACCTTCTCGTAGACTGCGTGTGACACTCGGGATTCTCTATCTGCCTAGATCATAGCTTGTCCTTGAGTCAGCATCAGTAGATTATTTTAACTGGAGTTTGTTACAGTGGTTACGCCTGCTTTGTCCAGGAAAGCTGTGAGGACCAGTCATGCAGGGGAAGTTCAGAATCCCATTTCCTTTTAACTCGTGTAAGACTTCACTTATTAAAAAAAAAGACCATTTTTATACTTTTCTTGCTAAGGTCCCGTACATTGATTTGTGCATTTGTGCAGATTCATTTCCACATTTTCTTCTTTTTTTTTTTTTAGTAACATTTTCGGTCTGATTTTTAAGCTCCTGACAGTGGTTATCTGTTAATCAAAATCACATTCTATGTTTTAATAATGTGCTATTTCCTAAGCCCAGAATGCAGTGTACTACGCATAAAACCTGTTGTAACTTAAAAAAAAAAAATTCCAACCGGTGCAGTAGGATAGAGTGGACTTTATGTGCTTTTTTTTAAGAGTAGAATTTTTTTCACTGATTTTTACCCTTTAGAGCATATTACTTAGCAAACATTACATTTTTAGAATAGATTCGGTAATGTTTTATTGAGGACCTGTGTGCCAGGCACTGTGCATATCTGTATGTTGTCCAATCACCCCTAACAATTTAACACTAGAAATTGTGTGTTTATCTCGTATCTTTGAGTGGCTGCCCCCAGTGCTGTGCTGACCAGCCTTTCAGTCTTACTGAAAACTCGCACCACAGCCCATGTGTCTTGTTCTCTGATGTGTCTGAAGGAAGTGAGCTCTCAGCCGTGAACAGCTTTGGCTTCCCAGAAACAGCTGGTTGCCAAGGTCAGGCTGGGAGGAGACCTGCTTGCTACCGTGGTTGCATAGCTCGGGGAGCAGTGACCAGCTGCCCTTAGCTGGCTTAGCTAGCTGGCCTCTGGAGGAGTGCTGTTAACCGGAAGGTACCTAACTCATAGTCTGTTTCTCCGTCGTGTGTCTCATCAGTCGACAAGTCACGTAGACATCAGTTAGGGGAGAAAAAACAGATCATTCTCCCAATAGTTTGGAGCCTTTGTTGTCTCAGATGTCCTAATTTCAGTTCTCTTTGTGTGTTTGGAAACAGCATTTATACGTTGCTGTGGTTTTCAGAATTTTCTTTTTTAAAAACATGAAGCCTTTAAAAAAATGATTCACACACATTCTCAATGTGCAGTAAAACAGATTGAAGTGGAGCTTGCCCGTCTGAAGCCTCCGCAGGGTCCTCCTCACTCTCCCTACCCAGCTCCTCGCAGCTCCCGAGTCTTCGCACAGGGCACTTGGGGACCACTGGTCGTGAGCGCTCACTGTTTCCATTGGCCAAATAACAGTACTTCTGTCATCACTGGCAGACTGATTTAGTCTTCATAGTTTTATATTCTTGTTTTAACCAGAATTGTTCCCTTTTTAAAATTAATTTTTTATTATTCATTCTTGATCAGGTTCATCAACAGAGGCTGTTATTCATAAGAACTGCGATTCCAGCGAATTAGGGTAATTGATACCTGTCCGCAGTTTTGAATAAAAGCATTTACAATTTCTAAATTATCATTTTATAAAATTCTTACATTTTCAACATTTCCCCTCATCACGTGCTGATTTAGTATTATTTTATATTAAAATTGTCCCTTTCACTGTTGTGCCACCATTCACACAAGTGCCATTAGTTCTTAAAAATGCATTTAAAGAAAAAATAACCACGTCAACTTGCACACTTCATATAATCAGCTGTATTACACACATGGACTGGGGAGACAGTGCCTGGATGGTTGTAATGTTTCTCATGTCTGCCAGTACCGAGAAAACAGCATGCCAGTTAGCGTGGTCACGTCACCTTATGCTTAGAATGGAAATTTTCAAGATCGTAAAAGTTTAGAGACAGATCAGGGATTGACAGCTGTTCACTCTGCTCGTGCCTTAGGCAGCCTTTCCAGATCAAATTCAGGGCCCCATTGCTGCTTATGCTTTGTGTGGCACACTTTGCCTCTTTCATTCTGTAAATTGACTGGACAGCCATCTAATAAACGTCTCCTGGTCTCTGTGTGTGCAGTTGATGGTTGTGAAGTGACGCATAAGGGAAGCCAGAAGTTTGGTCGAGATGGCGAGGGGCTGTTCTGTGCTTTTATGGATGTCATACCTGATAATACATGTGTAAGTTACTAATATATGAATTGGTGTTAAATGTATCTTCCATTTGAATGCCCTTTGGATAAAATTATTTCTTGATGTAATACAGTAGTGCCTTGTTTTCATTTTTATTCTTTCTCCAAATGTTATCAAAACCAGTAGAAAAGTTAGAAATAAAGTGAATATAATATTTTAAGTGGCCTGTATTCCATATTTTACTGAATGAAACAATTGGGGGGATTTTATTATTTTATGGGATTTATTCACTTAAAAGATATTGCATACATTCAAGGTACTTTGCTGGGTGCAGTAAGGGAAATATTCTCAGCTTGTAGCTAGGGTGACCTGAGAAATACGGTGCTCACATTTTATCAGTTGCGTTAAGCAGGACAGTATATCCACTTAACTTTTTTATTTTTATTTTTATTTTTTGGTCAGGAAGATCAGCCCCAAACTAACATGCATGCTCATCTTCTTCTATTTTGTATATGGGATGCCGCCACAGCATGGCTTGATGAGTAGTGCATAGGTCCATGCCTGGGATTCGAACCCGCGAACCCAGGCCACCGAATCGGAGCACGCGAACTTAACCACTACACCACTGGGCTGGCCCCACTAACTTTTTTTTTTTAGTTGCTTCCATTATGTTGCAGTCACTGGGCAAGGCCTTGGGGATACGTTGGTGACCATAGTTGAGGCCTTCATGGAAATAATGGCCTGAGGGAGAGAGAAAACATTAAATGAGTAATTATAATAGAGACATGAGATGAGTGTGTGATGTATTGTAGGGGAGACCTGACCCATCTGGCTGGCAAGGAGCACTTCCTTGAGGATTTGCCATTTAAAGAAAGACCTGAAAGTTAGCTGGCTGAAGAAGGTTAAAAGCATTTATCAAAGTGTCAGGTCAACAGCAAGTATGGAGTTGAATGTTTTAGGAAGGAAAAGAAACTTAAGTTTGCTGGAATGTGAAGTGTGAGAGGGAAAGGGGTGAGACAAGAGTGGAGCGATGAGTGAAGTGCTTGTGGGCTCTGCATCCTGTGGGGCCCTCTGGGGCATGCAGGGGAGTCCAGACTCAGGCTAGAGGTAATGGGAGGCCACTGAATGGACTTAAGCAAAGACATGATGTGACCGGGTTTGTGTTTTTGAGAAACTGGATGGCCTTACATTTTAGGACTGACAGATGGGACCCTGTTGCAAACTTGGGTCTGGTGAGGGAGTTGGTGGTGGTCACCTTATGGTGGAGACTGAGCTGTTTGGCCACACACTTGCGAAGTGTCTGATGCCAGATTGGTTTCTGAGTCCTGTGCTTTTCCTGCCACAACCTTGCCTCCACATCAAGTCATCTGTGAGGTCCATGTCTCATCAATTCCGTAATGGTTCAGAGGCTGCTCACACTGGTGATGACACAGATCCCCAGGATTGCAAAACCCTTGCTTGTGGCAAGACCATCACTCTTGTCACTTGTCACCAAGCATGGCTATCTATGGCCAAATTCAGGTTGCAGGGTTCTTGGAGAATTCACAGCAGGTTGCAGGGTTCTTGGAGAATTATACTTTGGCTTGGCTGTTGATTCTCTCCTCCCTAAAAAGAAATGGTCAGTGAAGGAAGTATCATTATAAGCAGAATTTTGACTTCTTCCAATAGGGGAAGGACAGCCATAGTATCTTTGGTTTCTTCCCAAGCAGCCAGCTTTTTGTAACAGTACCTAGTCTTCTAGGAATGGACTCAAGAAATTTCAGGAGTTAGGGAGCCCAGAGAGTTCTCAGGGAGAAGACTGAGTAGGAGATAATTTGTCTTTTTCAACTACCCCTTCCATCCAGTGAAAAGTATTCTCTTGATTTTTGAACAAATACTTATTGAATAGCTTAGTACCGGCAATCAACAGGCAAAGTCAAAATTAGCAGAATTTCTTACTAACTTCAAAGAACTTACGATCTAATATGGAAAAGGAGACAAGATATGACACTAAAACGAAAAAGGAATGAGCAAGATGAGGCAGCCCTTCGTGCTCAGAGGGAGACTGTCCCTTCTTAGGCCTTCGAGCATCCGTGGCGTGAATACAGAGGGGACCCCGAACACTGCTTCTGGCAAGATGCTCCTCGATCCCCTCCTTCCAGCTGGTCCTGCCAGTCCTCACCAGGAGCTCAGATTATGAGCTTCCTCACTTAAACTCCACCTGGCTCCTCTGTGCAATCCATATTCTGACCACATCCCACTTCTCTCCAGCTTCCCGCAGCCTTCCGCTCTGCCCCTGGGAACTGAGTCATGCGTTAGCAAAATCCCTTACATCAGTGCTTTTTCTGAACAATCCCTTCGTGTTTTTATTCTAATTGAAACCTGGATCTCTTGAAGAACCTTACTTCCTTTGCAGCCCTCAAGTGGTTGTTTTCTTTTCCTCATCCACCACTGGGCTTGGGGGCAGGTTAAGTGTCCTCCTTGGTCCTCCCTTCTGCTTTCAGATAACTTTCTCCTCCTCTTTAAAACAACC